AGCCAGTAACTCGAGACTCGACTTGCACTAGCCCAGGCATGTCCAAACTGTGACCCGTGGGCCAAATGCGACCCTCAGACAAATTTTTCTTGGCCCTCAGGCTTCCAGGTGAATTGGCCCAAAAAAACTGGCCTTGTGTCAATTAAAAATTAACTTTTTACTGCAGGTTTTTTGAAAATCTACCGTGATAAAGCTAATATTTAATAGTTAGTGTTTGGTTTTATGGATCTTAGCATGAATAAAGACTGATGGCTCATTCTAACGTGTTAAACATGCACATATTACAATTATTCACTGTATTGAGCATCAGTCTGCTGCCCTCGATCAGTCCTCTGCTTCTTCTGTGTTTAGATATGTGGCCCTTGAGGAAAAAAGTTTGGACACCTCTGGATTAGCCTTTCTTTGACCTGGGACTTGACTCAGACTTGAGGTCAGAGACTTAAGACTTGCAAAATAACGACTTGGCTCTGGAAACCGATATAGTAGTTTTGGGGGTTTTGACAGTCATTTTGTATTGTGTGTATTGACCACTGAACCAATAAAGTCTTAAGGTCAATGGGGAAGTTTCAGGATTACAACAATGAATACAAACAAATACTATAATCAGTAGTGCAATAAAGAAAAATGAGACTGACACTTCTATACTGCAGGGATGTAACAACAAAATATTATATCGTATCATCAAAAATCTCACAGTAACATCATGGAGCATCACAATATATATGGAATTACAAGTCCCTTTCATTGTTTTGGTGCAGCAATAGCTAAAAAAACAGAGGGAACTACATAGACCATGATCCTTTGCTCCTCTTCATGAAGAAATAACTGTTATTACGCACTTTTAAATCTTAATTCTTTTGATTATGACAGAATTAAAGACTAGAAAAATAAGTAGCATGTTCACAATTTGGTTAGTGTCCAGAAAATAAATATTATGCAGAGAGATTTGGAGATCGTTACATATTTTCTACACAGTATTACAATATTACCAAAGGGAATATGAGCAGATGTTATAATATTGATTCTTTATTCTGTAAGAACTAATAAGGCACAGTAGGGGGTGTTGTAAAAGACGCTATGCATGATAACATAGAGTATATACGGATCTGTGTTCTTCTTGTGTTTGGATTTATTTAAATTCATGTAATTCATTATTTTTCTGTTCACTTATATATTAAAATCTGGGAAGCCTAACATCACTGTCCTCAGGGTTATCACGAGTTTTCACATGAACAACAAGGTTCTGTCTGAGGCCAAAACTCTTCTGTAATGAGATCTCAGCATACAAATCTCAGAGGGACTTTCCTTGATAGCGTTAAATCAAATAACGCTAAAAATAAAATGCTTCAAATATCTCAGACATGTAGAAAGGAATGTACAGTATCTCATTTCATTAAGATTTTTTAAAAAGATGCATTGTGTAGCTTTTCTGGTGGAGGATCCGTCACATGCTTCTGTGGAAATGTCTTTTATCTGTCTGAAATATTCCACAGTATGACTTTAAACAGATCTACTTTATATTTATTCAATTACAGGTGGTTTTATAGCTCAAAAATACCTAGAAACAAACATTCTGACTGTGAGCAGCGTCGCCTCTCCACAGATCTGACCTGTAACTTGGTCTGGTTTGGTTTCCACGGAGATAGAAAGATTTAAGACCATACTGTGAAACCTTACAGATTAAGCAATAACATCTCCATGGACAAAAGCATTTGACAGTAGCTGATTCATCAGTCGGTTTCACTTCGTGGAAACTGTCTGACCTTGCAGCATTAAGATTTGTTCGCTTGACGGCAGGCAGGTACTTCTTTCTTCAATCAATCAATCAAACTTTATTTATAAAGGAAACACAAAGTGCTTTACAGTGATTAAAAATAATCCCACATTTCCAACCCTCCACCAGGAGCCCACAGGACTGACCCCTGTAGACACAGGCGAACCCCGCTCCTGATGCAGAGGCTCCTACAGAGGAAACACTGGAAATTCTAAAAAATATGCCTAAAATAACTAAATATAATAAAATGAATACAATAGAAACAAGTAAAAGTATAAGATTTCAATCAAAAGCTAAGCTAAAAAGGTGGGTCTTGAGCCTGCTCTTAAAAACATGAACGTTCTCTGCAGCTTTGAGCTCCTCCGGCAGGCAGTTCCATAGACGGGGGCCATAGTACTGGAAAGACGCCTCTCCGTGAGTGTGTGTCCTGACTTTGGGAATGAGCAGGAGCCTGCTGCCGGAGGAGCGCAGGATCCGCGAGGGTTTGTAGGGTAAAAGCAGTTCTGACAGATAAGAAGGCCCAAGACCATTCAGACATTTAAAAACCAGTAAAAGAACTTTAAAATCGATCCTGAAACTCACAGGGAGCCAATGCAGTGATTCTAAAACCGGTGTAATGTGGTCCCGCCCTCTGGTCCTCGTCAGGACACGTGCTGCTGAATTTTGTAATAATTGCAAACGTGAAATACTCTTTAACCAATCGCTGCTATTTGGTCATGACGTATGTAAAGCGCCGCTAACGGGGCCAACAGGTATATTAAGCTTTTCCCAAATCCCGTAGGAAGAAGAACAATAACGTCGTTCCTGTTGATAAAATTCACCAAACATTCTCTTTGTTCCAGCTTTAAATCCTTGATCTCAGGAATCGTTGCCAAAGCAGAATATACAGTTCTTCGCTGATTGGCTGGTGCCTGAACTCGCACATCCGGTGTTCTTGCAAACCGTCCTGTGTATTTTGATTCCTGACCTAGTCGCCGGAGAGAAATGAAATTGAGCGGAGGCACTAGGTGGCACCAGTCTGACTAATTTGACAGACCCTCCACCAGAAAAGTTACACAATGCCCTTTTAATCTTTTTCATCATCCGCGAATCATCCCCAAACGTAACACAGACACAGAGGTTGGGTTGAAATCGTAGTGTTTTAATCATCTTTATGTAAATTCATTTGTTTATGTCAATAACAAATCAGGAATCAGTGTCAACATCTAGAGAGAAACGTGACATTACAAAAGAAAGTAAACAGAAAAGACCAAGGGAGACACCTCTCTCCTTTAGTCAAAACCTTGTGAAGAGCTAGTTATTTCTGATATTGTAGAAAGTTCAAAATCCCACTCACGCTATTGTTCAAATGTGACTTTTTGTCTGGCGGTTGAGCGGTAGAAAAATACCCTGGTTATTTGCTTTTGTAACTATTGAGTTCCTAAACACATAGTGGACAAAACCAGAACTTCTACTGGCCCTGCAAAGATAATTTCGCTAGCAATCTACGCCAAACAAAGCATCTCCTTACAATGCTACATAACTATCGTACAAGTATTCACAACAATGAAGGCTTATCAAGCTAATCACTCAGGTTTGGTTCTTTATATTTATTTGATAATACAGCTAAAAGAACAGTATTAAATGTTGTTGGTAAATGTATTTAAAGGGCCCACATTACACTTTATTTTCTCATATATGTTATAATGTTGTTTCCTCGTCCAAAACAAACCTGGAGTTGTGTTTTGTTTCATTCACAAATGTTTAACACACAAATCCTCCATTATTACAGTGAATTCTCTCACTCTGATCCACCTTGTGATGTCATGTGGTGATACAGGAAGCGCTCCACAGTGTTTTCAAACTCCATACACCTTCACGAGAATCATCTGGATCATTTCAGTCCCGGAATTGTCAGTCTCTACTGGACTAAGCGAAAAAGTTGCTGCTTCACGACATCACAAGGCTTTGGAAATCTAGACAAACTAATAACAAAGGTTTACAACAACTCCAGGTTTGTTTTTGAGGAGGCAACAACATTATAACAAAATAATAACGTGACTAAAATCTCACAAGAGTCAATTTAGCATAATATAGGACCTTTAAATGTATTACAGGCTGACCATTTAAGGCATTGTTTACCAGCTTATCAGGTGTTACTGCTGTAAGAAAATATGAAAAAAACAAGTAACTTTCAAGATGTCTTATGTAGATGAATTTGACTGCATTGTTAGGCCTGTCACGATAAGTACTGTATCGATTTATCGTTCAGTACTTGACAGATGGGACCATGTATTTTGAGGGTCAATATGTATCATGACTGTACTTTTTGTTTGTATCAGTCTGGAACTTTTTGTTATTTGAGCTTTGAGATAGGAGCTGTAGATGCTTGCATAAATAACTCTTCATAGATACAAATTTATACTTATAAGTGTGCCATTGAGGTATTTATTTATTGCAATTTGTGTTTTTTTTGTCACATTTTGAATAGTTTGAGGTATTTTGTCAATCAGTTTCACTTCAAAATGTGTTATCGTGACAGGCCTGCACAACACTGTTTAAATTCAGTATCGTAAATTAGGATGAATAGGTAAAAATTTGATTGATCCACTTACCAAAATTGGAAAACTAATCGAGCTAATTCTAAATATTGTTTTAACGGTGCACTGCGTAACTTTCCCGGAGGATGGTCCGCTACCTGCTTGTCTCCATGGAGATGTCATTGCTTTGCCTGGAAAGCTCCGTGGTATGACATTAAACACATCTATGTCACATTTATTCATTACATTTGTTTCTATGGTTCAAAAATACAATAAATCCTTCTGTGAATAGGGGAGACTCTCCACAGATCTGAATAGTAAAGGTAGCGTACCGCTGTAACCTGCTTGTCCCTCTGAAATAGGTTTAATCTATACTGTGGAACATTCTAGACCAGGGGTGGGCAAACTACGGGACTTTAATCTTTTTAAGAAGGCCCTCAGAGCTTGAATAATAATAATAATAATAATAATAATAATAATTTTTATACTACTACTACTACTACTAATAATAATAATAATAATAATAATTTTATACTACTACTACTACTACTACTACTACTACTAATAATAATAATAATAATAATAATTTTTATACTACTACTACTACTACTAGTACTACTACTACTACTAGTACTAATAATAATAATAATGATTTAAAATGTTAATGTTTTAAAAGTCATTTCAATAAACAGTAAAAAACGGCGGGACTTGAAAGACAGATATTTTGTTGTAATGCTTTGTAATTATTTTAAATTATATTATTATATATATTATATATATTCAATTATAATGTAATATTGTAACATGTAATTTTTTTTTTCTCTTATGAAGAGGATTACCAAAAAAAAAAACCTCCATGCATCTGCTCCTGGTCCGGCCCTTCCGTCAAACTTTAGAACCCTTTGTGGCCCACGAGTCAAAAAGTTTGCCCACCCCAATAACATTTCCATGGAGACAAGCAGGAAATGTTACGCAGTGCACCTTTTAAGAATTGGAATTTTTTCGTGACGTGCATTACATGTTTTTCATAGTTTTTCAATTTTCAAAACAGCTTTCACAGACTCAAGCTGATTTGAGGTCTCGGTGATCAATGCAAAGAGATATTTTCAGTTGAAGAAAACCCTTTGAAAACACTAAAGGATTCCCCATTCATGCTGGTTTGTCAGTGTAGGTCCATTCACTGTAATTCACCATTTCTTTCTCGGGTGTCGTCTTCACTTAGCCTTACCTGCCAGACTCAACTGCGCATTTTAGACGGAGAATTATAGTCTGGTCTCTTAACTGTTACAAGCAATTTCTCTTGGATTTTTTTCGACATAGACAAACTTTGAACTCTCTGGTCTCTGGTCTAAAATGTCCAGGTAAGTCTGGGCAGGTCCGTCTAATCTTACTTTTCTTCGTTATGTTCATCAGTTGCCTCAGTTTAAACTCTGAGAACTGACATCCATTCACAAAGCTTCACTCTGTAACTTTTTCAGCGAGGGGTCTGCCTCATGCTTGTCTCCATGGTGATTTTATTGCTTTGCCTTGCGTGTTTCACAGTGTGGCATTACATTTATCTAGCTTTTATATGTTTTTATATTGCTTAAAAATCTTAAAAATGTATTCTTTATGAGTGGGGACGTCTCTCCACGGCACAGATCAGACCTGTAACTTCACCAGGTGGGATCGCTTGCTTGTCTAATGCCGTATTGTGGAGAATTTCAGGTAAATCTATAACATCTCCATGGAGACAAGCAGGTGGTAGACGCTCCAGCGGAGAAGTTACACAGCGCGACACCCCGTCAACTCTTTTCAAAACTTTTTTTCAATAAAAGCTATAATTACTATACGAGATCTATAGATAAAAAAGTAAAAGAACAAAAAAAAAAAAAGATGTTTCCTAACTCTTGAACTTTAGAACAATAGTCTTAATCATGTGTCTAGCTACATGCGTGTTGTACATAGAAATAAAGTGAAAACAGGATATGAAGTGTGGGTGAGGAGAGTCTGGGCGTGGCCACGTAACGCTAACGTAGGATGTGTCGTGTGTACAACGGCTGTAGCTACGAAGCGTTGGACGTGTTGGGGATCCAGCCCATTTGGTAGGCCCGCTCCAGAGTCCTCTTGCAGTCCTGCATCACTGTGCTGAAGACAATGTGTGGATACTGCACCACCAGTCTCTCCACGGTCTCCTCGTTCACCTAAAACACACAAAAACAACACAGATAAGAGATGGTGAGTTTAAATCTGTGTATCATTTGTTCGTTCGTTTTTCAAAATAAAACCAAAAATAAGAAAATGAAAAAAACAACTATTTTCCTTATTATTTGTCTCCAAAATCAAAATGGAAAAAAAAGTATAATGATTTGTTTTTTTCAGTTTTTGAGTTTGTGTTTAAATGAATAATGGAAAAAAACGGATAATCGCCATTTCCCATTTTATCCAGTGTTGACCCTTACTGACTGAACTAGGACTAAACCAGACTAAACCAGGACTAAACCAGGTCTAAACCAGGACTAATCTTGGACTTGAGCGAGAAAGGGATAATTCCAAGCCCGTAGAGTGAGTGGTTCTTTGATGTAACATTTTTTGAGGGTTTTGAAGGTGGAAAAGCACCAGAGCATCAAAAGAACATGTAAACCCCATACAGAAAGATGCCAGGAATCAAACATAAGACTCTCTAGTTTTTTTCTCATTTTAATTTATTTTATTTTATTTACATTTTAATGCACAGGTATTAAAGGTACACATGTGAAGCTTCTGATGAAGGGTTGTCTCCATGGTGATGTTTTTGCTTTACCTGGGATGTTCAGGGTTCCCACTCTTTTCACTGACAAAATTTCAAAACTTTTTCATGACCTAAAGTGAATTTTCCATGACTTTACAGCACCCAACATGTGTAGATTTGATCAGACTTGTAGAGCTAAATATGAAGTGTTAACCCTTTCCACTCACCTTATGGTTTGGTATTACAAAATACTGTCTGTACATTTATTGTCGTCTCTTTTTAAACAAAAGGTGCACACGTTTGGAAATAATCATAAAAGCCTAATGATAACTCAACAAAACGCTGTAGTTGCGTGAAAGAGATACTAAAATTCCATGACTTTTCCAAAACTTTCATTGAATTTACAAAGTTCCATGACTTTTCCAAGCCTTCAAAATGACATTTTCAATTTCCATGACTTTTTCAGGATTTCCATGACCGTGGGAACCCAGGATATTCTGCAGTATGGCATTAAACAAATATATCTTGTATTTATTCAATTACAGCTGTTGTTAATTTTTTCTAAACTATCACAAAAACATGCATTATTTCTGTGAGCGGCCCCACTTCTCCACAGATCTGACCTGTAACTTGGAATGGTAACGTGGCCATCTTATCTCCATGGTGATAGTTAAATTAAATGCCATACTGTAGGAAAACAATAACATCTGCATGGACTCAAGCGGGTGGTGGACCCTCTACTAGAAAAGTTACACATGAATTTTAAAATTTAGCTAATCTACATGCACATAAAATAACAAAGAACAGATATTTCTTTCTTCCTTACATTGTACTCGGTTTTATTATTCAAACATCTCTGCATTGACCTTTCCTTTATAAAATATTAATAAACACAAGATGTCCTCTGTGTGAACTGAATCCAAAAAGTCATATAGGATACACTGGCTGCATTTCCACTGTAACATCTTTGTAGTGCCTGGTCCACAGGCCTGACAGAGTGTGACTGAGAGCGAGCGGAGTCCAGCTGAGCGCAGCAGGCTGATCAGACCGCAATGTTCTCCCACAATCTCACACACACACACAACGCTGACGGTTAACGCCGCTAACTGTGCTAATGGCGCTAATGTTGCCAACTGCCTGCTCCAACTGCGCACCGCTCTCTGCCACATTACTCTTAACAGACTAAAAAATGTACACGCTGACACCCCTCTTTAAATATTCATGTCACCCTTTACATTACCTTATACATTATTTAGTCATAATTTCCATCAAAGTTATATGTTGGTGATGAAAAAAAACCAAACACATTGTGCAACATTAAAGGTTCGTCACCGGCAATACGTGCATTAGTCCATTTTTTTATTGCCCAAAAATGCCTCATAGTTTTCGGACTATAAGGTGCACCGGACTATAAGGTGCAATATCAATAATGTTGAATTCTCTCATCTATTTTCATACATAAGGCGCACTGGATTATAAGGCGCATTAAACAAAACAAACAGACGACACTTGAGACTGATCCCTTAGCCACGATTCATTGGCAGATTGACGTAATTCGCCCGACGTCGCCTCCCTGTTTTGGTAAATGTGTGTAATGAATGTGAATGTGGATGGATAATTTAAGTAATAATGTGTTTAATGCTGCTTTGTGCACATTTGTTTGCGTTTTACAGAAAGTAAACTTAAAACCACATGGCTAATTTGCATAAACTATAAGCACTGAAAAAACTGCCAGATCCTTGTGCCCCGATGTGGTCAGCTCCTGTCAGACTAAACACGACTCAGTGAAATATGCATGTTTTTTCTGTAGTGGCAGTGTGCGTTGAGTCGATGCAGAACTATACTTCACCCTTTACTCCGCGAGGCTTCTGACTACAGTAGCCGTAATGCTCCGACAATCCATCAAGCGGTGGGGCTTCATAGCTTACCAAAGTCATAGTAAAACATTTTGACAGATTTTTTAGCGCTGTGTGCCACATAAAATCATTTCCTGGTCAGTAAGCACAACTAGAATTAATACATGAGTCACACCAGATTATAAGGTGCACTGTCGATTTTTGAGAAAATTAAAGGATTTTAAGTGTGCCTTATAGTTTGAAAAATACGGTACATACATTATTACAGTGAGTGGACTTGTTTCTCACAGACCAATTGGAAGTCCTCAAAAACATAACCAGCATTGTATTTTGTTTCATTCACACATGCTTGAATACTCCTGTCTATCCACAAATCCAAAGCTCAAAATGCTCTGATCCACCTTGTGATGTCATGAAGCAGTTTTCAAGTTAACAGCTCCTTTTGCATTTTGTTTAGTAGAGATTGGAAATCCCAGGTCTGAAAGCATCTAAATGATTCTAGTGAAGGTTCTATAAGCCACCGTCACCCTCCTCTCCCCACCCACCCACCGTCACCCGTCACCCCCGCTCCCCCTTCCTGGCCACCCATGAGCCTGACACTTTCCAGGGGAGTGGAGTGTAAACATGGGAACACATGGAGCACAGAGGCCAGAGCGGTGACAAAGAGAGCCATGGTTTTTGCTTCATGGGAACATTTGCTGATATACAGAGGTCAAATATGTTTTCTTATGCGTAGAATAAATGGATTTGATTTTGAAATGTGGTTGAATGTTTGGAAATTGCCCATTAAAGTAACATGCTTCAATTTCACAGTTTTGGAAATGTGACCGCACTGGTGATATTTTAACCACATCACATTTTTTTCACATTTTACATGTATTGTTATTCTTTATATATGTGCATTATTCATACAGATTAGATAAATGAAATGATTAATTAAATAAAATGCAACAGCTTCAAAGGTAGTGTAAAACAAAGAAAAAACAAGAAATGAAAATCGCAAGTTGAATTTGAAATTTTTGAAGTATTATGTCCTCCACCAAAAGAGCTTGTCTTATTCTGCATGAAAACTTCTAAGCCTGTAGTTTAAATGTGTGTAAACATGTCTTGAAATGTAATTCTTGTATTTGTTTGTCAGTTCATATCATACAACATAAAACGTTGTGGATTAAGGGAGAGTAATGTCACCCATAGCGTTCAGCTCCTCTCAAATGAAGCTCACGGTGGTAACAATTATAAAAGCGAATTTGGAGCTTTCATATTAACAATATTAATTGATTTACAGACAAAATTGTGAAATAAAAACTCCAGGATCATATAGAGTGGGATAATAGGAACATTTTAAGACCAAAATGACGAACCTGACAGCAGCAGTTACAGAGAGTGAATTTAAGCCAAATTCTTTTTGTCAATCCATATAAAACATGAATTTTGAACATGGATGGGCATTCGATTAAATTTTCTTAATCGATCGTCGGGAGAATTAACGATCGATTATCGATTAATCATTAACATTTTTATATTAAAATTATCATCATTATTATTACTATGTGCACTACTGATCTGCATAAATAAATTCAACATTACAACATATAAACCATCACCACTCTAGAGCCACATCAGCCTGTTTGACATTATAATGTGTTTAATGCAGCTTTGCGCAACTCTCTTAAAACCACATGGCTAATTTGCATAAACTAAGATAAGAGAAAAAACAGCTCTTGTGCACTGATGCAGCACGACTCAGTGGAATACAGATTAGTGTGACCAGATTTGCGTTTGTCAAAACCAGGACACCGTACGGGGGGAGGGAGGTGGGGACTCGTCATCAACATTGCGCGACTCTCACCTGGCAAAACTTTTTCCCACTGGACACCGAAACATATGTGCTGCTTTGTACACTGTGCACATGACTAAGACTTGTCCCAACCGGAACAGAAAGCATGAAATTTCTTGTACAAGTCATCGTTAAATACGCATTTGTGCTTCAGCACGTTGCTGGCTGACTGTTGTGTTTGTACGGACCCCTGTTTGGTCACGCTACGCACAGCAACCTACATTCGGTTTGTCGATTAAAATTAACGTAATCGATGATATTCTTAATGATCAATTATAGATTAATCGACTAATCATGCCCATCCCTAATTAAAACATAACATAAAAATCACAATTTGATATATTTCCCATACTGTAAAACTGAAAGTGTTGAAAAAGTAGCAGTTTCTTGTAAATCCATGTAGCGTTTAGGTTTAGGGGAAAAGACAATCTTAAATGTGCCATAAAAAGTTGAAATTGTGGCTGTTGCAGGTGGAGTGTCCAGAATGAGGGATCGAGAGTAAACAAAGAGTCAATAGAAACGACTAAATTGAGTTAGTGTACATTGAGTTAGTGTACAGAAACCAACAGAGGAAGAAGTGGAGTGCACTCGAGCAGAGCACAGCCCCGCGCAATGAAGATGGAACCACCGCACAGTCAATCCAACACGAGTAAAAGCCAACGAGGGACGGTTCTACTCTGGGGATGGAGAGAGTGAGACTGAGAGGGAGAGGAGGGAGAGAGAGAGGAAGAGAGGGGGCAGGAAGGAGAGAGAGAGAGAAGAGAGAGAGAGAGAGAGAGC